ATTTTATGTGTTTCTAATAGCGAACATTGCTCCTAGTAGTATGGCCAAAAACCCCTAGTAGCGTCCTTGCTCCTAGTAGCGATGCCCTTTGCTCCTAGTAGCTTCTTGTTCATAACAATTGACAATGTCATTACTTTCTATTTTAGAAGAAAACAACACATCGAGGAACGCTTGGAATAGATCAGATTGTTAGGGCTTCAAGACAAAGGCCGCCGGACCATCCTTGGTTTCCACATGCAGTTTAGCAATCCTGAGGTTTGCAACCTCTTGGAATTCAAGCTCGACTGCAGCCCTTCCACAAAGATATCTTTCATCGTTGATCGGATCATTGATCGTCATGGCCCGGGGCTGGGCGGCAGTCGCGTGGTGGTGACCGGGTCGCGTTGCGTCGGACTTGTGCGATCCATAGAGGTCGCAGTGAGAAGAGTCTTGAAGAAGAATCTTCTATAAGAATATGGTATTAATATGAACCACTAGATCAGAGTTATTCATGAGTTCAGGCAAGACTCTTGTAAATTCCAGCGCTTCTCGGTGTCTTGAGTCTTGAGTAACATCTGAGAAATGAAAAGGGACATCCCCTGCACGCAAGAAACACCCACTTCAAACACGACTGGAAACGATCTCCAGCACAGCACCAAACACGACTCGACTGCTTATTCAAAACGTCATTGGACTGAGTAATCACTGGAATTGGATGAGAAATCACTGGAATTGGAGCCAATGCCTCAACAGCTTCGACCCTTCTCTTCGCCAGGTGGATCCATCAGCGATCTCTCTGTGTGTGTGAACCGCTTCCATCCTGACGAGATTGTTGGCAGAGTGAGGGGCCTCAGGCCCTCAGGTATATGGCTGTGAGTCAAATCCAGGTTTTCTTTCGTTGACCTACCTGGGAGGTCAAACTACACCAGGTTTGGACCCATCCCCATACACTTCTACGCACGCCGCCTGTACGCTGAACCTTATAGCATCTTATAGCTTGTGAGGATTGGACAACATCTATGGTTTGGGTCTGCCTACCCGCTGGTTGGTTCAGAATGGAATGAGGTTCCCGGGGCGGACCTGAATTTAGCTCCTCAAGAGAAAAATGGACTGACAGAGAGCAATCATGTCAGGGTAATCATGATGATCCACAGGACCAAGAGTAATCATGACAGACTGCTGCACCTGCGGATTTGGGACCAGACGCGACCGTTGGGAACTCCGAGGATAAGACTCTGGAGCAATGTGGTGTCTTCGGCGGCGAGTGTCTCATATACTACGTGGCGCCCTCACTTCAGATTCTTTCAATTCAATTTCCAGGATTGTGTGAAAAAGCACATGCTGCAGGGTCTCACGATCATATCATAACGGTTTTGCCATCAATGTCCATGGTAGTAGTAGATGATCAGGTAGGATTGGCGTTCTCGGAGTGCTCTTCCCGTTTTCGCTGTGGCTTCTATGGCTTCTTCGGCTTCATGTCCCAAGGATTTCGTGCCCAGAGCGGGTGCTTTACTCGCGTGAAGGGCCGCCAGACACACCGCGAAAACCAAGCGGAAGGTGCTCAAGAAATGCTGAGAAGGTTCATAACGTTAGGCCAGTAGGAGCCATAGGATGCATGAAACTGTGAGTCTCAAAGGGACGACACAGACCGACACAGGCGACGCGACACGTGCGCTGATCAAAACGTGAGCGACGTCAGGGAGGGCGGGGTCGGTTTCAAGGAGTTTCATCGACGTTCTCCACCAGGATGTCAACAAAGGATGTGGGCGTGCCAGAAATCGCAGACGTGGCAGATGGGGCGTGCTAAACAAGGAGCTCAGATCGTGTTGTTCTCATTGTGCGGTCAGCAGGCATTTCCAAGCACTGATTCGCAGGTGCTACTACTCTTGTTTAGTGTGGTGCTTGATAGTAGCAGTGCTAGAC